ACTGCACTCCAGTCTGGGTGACAGAGTGAGACTCCAACTCAAAAAAAAATTTTTTTTTTTTTTAATTAGCCAGATATCATGGCATGTGCCTGTATTCTAGCTAATTGGAAGACTGAGGTAGAAGGATCACCGGAGCCCAGCAGGGTCAAGGCTGCAGTAGCTATGAGCATGCCCCTGCAGTCCAACCTGGGCGAGAGTGAGACTTTACTCAAAAACAATCTTGTAACCAAATATGAATGTTTAGAGCATTGGTCATCAAACTTTATCAGGCACCAGGATCTCCTAGAGCAGGGGTTGGTAAACTTTTTCTGTGTATTTTACTGTATATATATTTTCTGTAGGCTTTTTGGGTCATACACCTTCTGTCAAAACTTGTCAGCTCTGCTGTTGTAGCACACAAGAAATACATAAACAAATGGACATGGCTGTGTTTCAAAGTTTTATTTTCAAGCCGGGCTCGGTGGCTCAGCCTGTAATCCCGCACCTTTGGGAGGCTGAGGTGAATGGATTGCCTGAGCCCGTGGGTTCGAGACCCGCCTGGGCAGCGAGACCTCATCTCTACAATAAATCAAAAAATCAGCTGGGCGTGGTAGCGCATGCCTGTGATTCTGGTTACTCAGAAGGCTGAGGCGGAAGGATTGCTGGAGCCCAGCAGGCGAGGCTGCGGTGGCCGGGAGTGGCCACTGCACTCTAGTCTAGGCGACAGAGTGAGACTCCAATTCAAAAAAAAAAAAAGTTTTATTTTCAAAATCAGTTGATAGGCTGGATTTGATCCATGGGCCACAGATTCCCAGCCTCTGACTCAGAGAAAGAGTTCATGGATATTTATTGCTTGCCAACTGTATATTCAAGGCACCTGAAATACATAAGAAAACAAAGATCCCTGCCCTCATGGGGCTTACTTTCTAGCTCTTCTGTTAGTAGACAATAAGCATGTCAAGTCTGATTATGTAATATGTTAGAAAGTGATAGATAAAGGGAAAAAAGAACAACCAGAGCAGAGTGATGGGGCTGGGTTGTAATTTGACAGGATGGTCAGGAGAGGCCACATTTAGGTGAGACTTGAGTAAAGGCATGAAGGAGGCCAGGAGTTCTTGTGGAAATCTGGGGAAGAAAGTTCCAAGTACACGGCCTGTGCAGAGGTCTTAAGGTGGGAACGTGCCTGCTGTTTCAGGAGGAGCAAGATCAGTGTGGGTAGAATGGGGTATACGAGGAGGAAGAGGTTCACTGCTTATTTCTTCTGGGAGACTTCTGTGGTTCCCTTGTAGCCTCTGGGCCTAAGTGTTTCTCTCCACTCTTTAGTACCATGCTTTTTCTCACTTAATAGTTTTGCCATGGATATAAAGTTCTTCTACAGCCTGGCCAGGTGCAGTGGCTCATGCCTATAATCCCAGCATTTTGGAAGGCGAGAGGATTGCCAGAGCCCACGGGTTCGAGACCAGCCCAGGCAACTTGGCGAGACCTCATCTCTACAATGAATCAAAAAATTAGCTGGGTATGGTGGCGCATGCCTGTAATTCCATATACTTAAAAGGCTGAGGAGGAAGGCTCACCTGAACCCAGCAGACTGAGGCTGCAGTGGCTGTGAGTATGCCATTGCACCCTAGCCTGGGCAACAGAGTGAGACTCCAACTCAGAAAAAAATGTTCTACAGCCTAACTTTTAAGAACCACACAATGTTTCATCATGTAACGCCACCATTTATTTTCCTAATTCCTTATCAGTGGGCTTTCAGGTTGTTTCCACATTTTCACCGTAATAACAGCACTTCAGTGTGAACATCCTTTTGGCTATATTTTTTACTAAATCCAGGATTTTTCCCTAGAATAGATTCCTAAAAGTGAGATTGCTGAGCCAGAGTGGAAACAGGAAGTAAGACTTGTCTGGCCATTTAAAAAAGAGTGCTGTCACCCTCAGCTACAACCTCTTCAGGTACCCCTTCCCTGCCCCCTCCTGCCTTTTACACTGTGACTCGTGGTTCCAGGCTCAAGCACAGACATCAGTGAGGACTGGGAGAAAGACTTTGACTTGGACATGACCGAAGAAGAAGTGCAGATGGCACTTTCCAAAGTGGACGCCTCTGGGGAGGTGAGTGGGCCTGGTGGACCAGAGGGATGCAAGCCAGTGGTCCAGTGATCTCATAGCTTAGTAAGAGACAGGACTGAGGCTATAGCCCAGATATCTGAATCACATCAGTGTCACTTTCACTGTCACACAAGAACCATGTGATTCCTTCTGTCATGTAAATCATGAACCTGCTAGGAAGAAGTGGACAGATTAGAGAGACATATGAAGGGCCTTACTTTTCAAATAAAAGATCTGAATCCTTGAGGGAAGTAGTGACCTACTCAGGAGTGTTTTTGCACCGTGACCTCACTATACCCAGGACAGAGAAGGTCCATGGTGCCCTATCAGGCCACAAGGGCTTGCAGGGTTTGTATATCTTTGTGGCCCCCTTTTAAATCTGACATGTAGTATACCTGAGGAGAGGAGAGTTATTCTATAACCTGTCATACCAGGGCTTGGCTGACAGTAGGCCAAGCATAGTAACAAGGCAAGAGAAAGTTCCCTGGGGAGAATAGAGCTGGGAATTAGGGTGTTAGAGCCCCTAGTGAAGACCTTGTGAGCACCTGTAGCCTGCTGCCACCCCTGCTTTTGATCACAGTGCCACTCTCAAGTTCTCTGACCCTCAGAACCATGGTCTTATCTGCCCAGCAGGAGACAGGTTCTCCTCGAGGGACTAGACTTGGTTCCTGTAGGCAGGGCATTGCCTTATAGTGTCCGGTGTTGCTTGGTGGAAGCATCTTTTCTGGGTTTGAAACAATCAGAGCAGCAGGACCACCCCTCAGGCAGTGGGCAACTCTGTTCCCCAAACATACTGCTTAATTAATTGCTATATGGGTAAACTCATATAGCAAGGGCAGGGGATGGCCTGGGATAAGGAGTGGGAGGCAGCTATCAAATGGAGGCAGCTCTGCTCGATGGGGGAGTTGGGTCTGGGCTTAACTCAGAGGAGTAAACATGTGTCTGTGCTCTCCATTATCTTCTCCATTTGCAGCTGGAAGATGCAGAGTGGGAGGACTGGGAGTGAGGGATGCCAGAGCAAGCAGCTCCCCACCCATGGCACCTCCCACTTCCCTCGCTTTCTCAGCCCAGCCCCAGAAGACATTGACTGACAATGTCCCCCAAATCTCCTCTGCCAACCAGAGCTCTGGGCACAAATTCAGGTGGCTCCCTACTGTTCCTTCGGGCCTCTGTTCACACCTGGGAAGGGGCTTTCTAAATCCAAGCCAGGAGCTCTGACTTGTGCCAACCATAGAGTGACCTAAGCAGGAGGAAACCTACCCCCCTCACCAAAAGAGCCTACATTTCTCTGCTGAACGTCCACTGTTCCTGGTGACTCCTGCTGGAACGTCCCAAGGGATAGCTCCAGCCCTTCTGCCTGTACAGACAGAAGCTAAACCACCAGTCTCTTGGAGAATTCTGTCCAACCATAAGCAGGCAAGGAAGGCCATGCCACCTCCTCTTGGCTAAACAGGGACAGTGAATACATTTTGCTTCCCATCCCAGTGGGTAAGAGGCACTCATCTATGAGAAATTCGCTTCTCGGGACTCTCCCTTTCCCATTCCTGGAAAGGTTCTTTGGGGTTCAGAATCTAGAGACCGAACCCTGACCCACCTCCTTCCTTTCCTCCAGCCCATGGTGGTCTGTCCCCACACCTTTCCCAGGGTTTGTTCACATCAGATGCACCCAAGTCCTTAGCCCAGCTGTGCCACCTGCAGGAGTCCACTCTTGCATTTCTTCCCCTCCCCAAGCAGGGAGGGGGCCACTGCAGGCCCTTTTGGGCATTGCCTGGCGGGATACCTTGTCCAATCAGCTACCCACCTCGACTCCCCTGTAGCTTAGGACACAAGCCAGCTACCAGCGGTACAGAGCAGTGATCAGAGTCGAGTGCTTACAACTCTGGTAAGCCCAGCTTCTCCGCCTCAACCCTTCTGCTTTTCGAAGGGAGGTGCTGGGGTGAACTTGAAACTCTCATCAGGCTTCTGCAAAAACCCTTCTTCCTGAAGACAGACCCAACCTTTGTGGCTCTCACCCTCCACTCTGGTAAAGCTGCACCTCAGAGGATTGAGGAGTTACAGAAATCCCGGGAGACCCTGGTGCTTCACGATACTGCTCTGGTGATTTTTGTACATAATCTGGTGTGTCCACCAGTGATTTAAAGGGATTATAGTCAGGGATGCCGAGAGAGTGGTGATCACTTTTACTTCAAACCTTCAGTGAGGGGGTGGGTTGGAGAGAATGCTGGATCTTTTTCAATGATGAGATGGGTTTTTTTTCTCTTTGTAATTATTTCTTTAGTTTAATTAACCTTTTGGTTGTTTGTGCAATATTATATATTTTAAATTATAATGCATCTCCCCAGAGTATTTTGTAGCCAGGAAAAGAAAAAAGAAAAAAAAAAAGAAAAAAGATTCTAACAGCTGTTAGTTTTATAATTAAAAAAGAAAGAAAAAAGAACTTTGTCCTGAACCTTTTACAGACTTGCCGTTAACAGCATTAAAGTGATTCAGCAGAAGCTGGAAGGTGTCTGGGATCTGTTTTTGTCCCCAAAGGCAGTTGCACTGGGCCAGGGTAGGACATACGTGCTGTGCAGGGTGGCTTCCCACATGAAGCTGGAGAACCGGGTAGGGGGATATCCTGAGTCTGCAGGAAGTCCCCTTGTCTTCATCCCAGATTCAGCGAGCTTTGGGATGAGGAAAGAACGGGGCCCCAACAGGCCTCTCACCAAGAGAAGGAGTCAGGACGCCATTTCTGCATTTCCAATGCTTTGCATTTATTTTGAAAGGAGATTGTAACAACAATGCTTCCCATTGCTCTTGGTCATTCCTCAGCATTCCCCTCCCTTCCCCTCACCCCTCCTCCTGGGTGTTATGTGATTCTGGAGTCTATTTTGATTAACTTTAGCTAAATACCTGTATGAAAATCACTTGTCAGCCATAATAAAAGGGAAGTCTGAATGAGGCCCGTTGGCTTCATGAAGACCTTCAAAAGGAAAGAGTAAATCAGACATGGTGGCTCACGCCTGTAATCCCAGCACTTTGAGAAGCCAAGGTGAGAGGATTGCCTAAGACCAGCCTGGGCAACTTGGCAAGACCTCATCTCTAGTAAATCAAAAAATTAGCCTGACATAGTGGCGTGTGCCTGTGGTTCCAGCTACTTGGAAGGCTGAGACAGAAAGGTCACCTGAACCCAGTAGGTTGAGGCTGTGGTGGCTGTGAGTGTGCCGTTGCACTCCAGCCTGGGCGACAGAGTGAGCCTCCTACTCAGAAAAAAAAAAGGAAAAAAAAAAGGAAAAGAGTAGTAAGGCTGGGGAGGGCATAGGTAAGTTTTAGGCTAAATAAACCTAAAGTGTAAAAAATTATATCACCATTTCGAGGCAGGTTTTGGATTTGCTTTCTCCCCCTGCTTTATTGGGGAGGACTTGCCATTGCTTTTATCAAGTACTTGCTAGCCATGGATGCCAACTAACTTCTTCAACTGAAGGCCGGAGGATCATGTCTGGTTCCAGGAGCCTCTTGAGCAGGTCCTGGCATTCGGCCGAGATGCCCAGATGAGTGGGGAAGGACACCCCCTTCTGCTGCTGCCACAGCATCTTGGGGATGTCTGTGTCGTCAAAAGGTAGGCTGGCACAAAGCATGACGTACAGGACCACACCCATGCTCCAGACATCACCCTTCTTGCTGTCGTGGGGAATGCCCTGCAGCACCTCAGGGGCGGCATAGGCTGTGCTGCCACAGAAGGTCTGGCTCAGCTCCCTGCGTGACTTGGGCAACACCTTGGCGAAACCAAAGTCAGTCAGCTTCAGGTTGAAGCCCTGCAACAAGGCATTCTCGCACTTGAGGTCCCGGTGGGCCACGCCACAACCGTGGCAGTAGCGGATGGCCTCAACCATCTGACGGAAGAGGGCCTTGACCCGGCTCTCAGGCAGTGGCCCCCCATTCAGCACACAGTCAAAAACATCCCCTCCCTCGGCCAGCTCCATCACCAGGTAGATTTTGCCATCGGCTGACTCCAGCATCTCATACACCTGGATGATGTTCTTGTGGTCCAGGGTACGGACGATCTGGAGCTCCCGAGGCAGAAATCTCTGGATAAATTCTGAGGAAACAAGGGGAGGAAAGATGAGCTGTCAGGACCAGAGGGGGGTCCTCCTCACTCCTGTCTCCTGCCTTCCAACTTCTGTCTGCCCGCCTGTCTAGATGTTGTTTCTTGGCTCTCTTATGGTTCCAGGTGTGTCCAGCTGCTCCGAGGTTGCAAAGAATGTTCACGTCTATTTGTGTAGTTAATATTCAAAAGATGGCCGGCCTTGGTGGCTCAGCTTGTAATCCCAGCACTATGGGAGGCTGAGGTGAGTGGAATGCCTGAGCCCGCAGGTTCGAGACCCGCTTGGGCAACTTGGCAAGACCTCATCTCTACAATAAATAAAAAAAATTAGCTGGGTGTGGTAGCGCGCACCTGTAGTTCCAGCTACTTGGAAGGCTGAGGCGGAAGGATCACCGGAGCCCAGCAGGTGGAGGCTGCGGTGGCCGGGAACGGCCACTGCACTCCAGTCTGGGCTACTGAGTGAGACTCCAACTCAAAAAAAAAAAAGATATACATATATATATATTTTTTTTTTTTTTTCCAAAAGAACTACTCTGCCAGCCTCATGGACTGTTGTGAGCAGTCTGAGATCACAAATTCAAAGTGCTTTGAGGACCTTTAGACAAAGCCATTGGATCTCAGCTATGAGGCCTGGGGGGCCCCAGGGTGATGAGCCAGCTCTTCCCTCCCCTGCTCCCTTGCCTCCTGACCCTCAGTTCTTTCCATGAGCCCTGTCTTCCTTTTCCTCATCTCCACCGGCTCTAGTGCCAGCACTTGCCCTCTGGTAGCCCAGGCTGTGGCCTCTCTGCCAGTCTACCTCTCCTGGAAGGGAAAGAAAGCCTGGCTGGCTCAGGTTCTTCTTCAGAGGACCCTTCATCTCGGACCACATTAGTTGTCGGTTTGGGAGGCTATGAAGTTCCGGGACTCCAGCATTCCTCTCTGACTCACCCCTGATCCGCAGTCGGCTTGCTTTCCTTGGTTCCAGACTACAGGGGAGCTGGGAGTGATCTTTCTGACTGGAGGAAGTGCCCACCCATCAGGTCAACCCTCCCTTCCTCCAAAGGGGCCCCGGCTCACCTTCTGGCCCTCCCATCTTGTCTATAATTTTAATTGCCACCTTTCTTTGGTGTTTTTTGGAAAATGCTTCTTTGACTTTTGAGTAGGTCCCTTCCCCAATGGTCTGGCCCAGCTGGTACCCATTGGAGAGCAGAAAGTCCTCCATGCTGACTAGCGCCTCCTTCCTATCACCCTCTCAGCTCATGCTGCCTCCGCGAGGCAGCTCTACTCCACCATCGCCCTGGGTCCGTTTCTCTTCCCCCCAGGACTTCATCCGCAGCCGCCCCCAGCGTCAGAACATTCTCCGTCTGGACACCGCCGCGGGTGGTGGGGAGGGAGAGGGCTAGACATTTTAAAACCGGCCCAATTGTGATGTAAACGCTGTGTGACCCTTGGCCAAAATGGGCAGTGCCCCTACCTGCCCTCATCACCACCAAACCCGGCG